ATCATGTTGGAAAGCTGATACTTTGAAAAATCCAAACCATCCATGAAAGACTTGAACATGAGAGCTCTCTTGACAGCTTCTTTATCCTCAAGCTTGAACAGTGTTGTTGATCTTCGTAGTGAGAGTTCATACCGCTGAAGGAAGCGATCCAGCCAACATTTGAAGCTTTGAACTCCTCAGGAGGGATGTCAAGTGTAGGAGCCATCTCGAGAGCAAAAGCTTGAATCTCAGCTCTGCGCACAACCATACGGTTTTCTCTCTTCTCAGCAATCCAGTCAAAGATGATGTCTTCTAACTCTGGAAAGAATGGACGATTTCCAGAGCCACATTTTCTTTTTTTTGCCTGCCCATCTTCAACCTTTTGATTGAGATCATCATACTGTGCTCGCCATTTCCTAACCATTCGTACGTCCAACTTCTTCTCTTTGCAAAATGCAGTAATATTTTGATCTCTGCATTCTTCCACAATTCCTTTTTTGTATTCGACAGAGTAACTTTTCCTCTTGCCACTCATCTTAAATAATGGGCAAATGTTAACAAATAGTTTATTTAAATAGAAAAAAACAACCTTACTTTTGACAGCTTTGTAACCTCAGGATATGTTGAAAGGAGGAAAAACAGTTCGAAAAACGAAAAATCCTCGAAAAACGAAAAATCTTGCAGCAGTTGACGTTTCCGGTGTGGTTTTGACAGAAGTTTTTGTTGTCAGCTGATTCATACTAGAAATTATAATCGAGGAAGGGCTTATATTCGAGGGAGGGCTTATATTAGAAAAATAGACAAAAAACGTGCTAGGTCTTATATTTGAGGGATGTCTTATATATGAGGAAACACGGTAGTAAATGTCTGTATGTATGTATATGTAATTTAATTTCTATGGATATTTGTTTTCTTTTATATATAAATATGTCATTTAAACGATCAAAGGTTTGGGTATATGTGCACATTAATGTCAAGTATTTTACCTGAATTTTGCATTATGTAGTTGCATTTTCGGGGATGTTTGTACGCTATTGTATGCTTGGGATGTATGTACAGATTTTACTTAATGTTATATATTGTACGGTTTGTTGATTATATTGTTTTTTTTCTTTTGTTGGGGGCAAAGGAACGTTCAGTTCACATCGTTTAATAATAAACTATTATTATTATTTTTTTTATTATTGTAAGAAGATTTTTGTTGCTAGGGGTTATTGATGTGTTGTTGCATAAATTGTGTTTAATTTGTTACAAACATGTAAAAATTATTCACAGTTCTTCGTTATTATTATTTTTTTTATTACGATGATTATTATTTGTTGTAGTTTTGTCATTTCTTTAAGGATAATTCATCGGGTATTGAGAGGATCATAGATGACTCTCCACGAATATTAATAAAAGTTGAAAAATATTAAAAATTAAAAAAGTTAATAAAAGTTGTCTCGTAAATTACAAAATGGCCCTGTTAGATGGCAAGGTGCCTACCTAACTGAACGCGTTTCGCGTTTAATTTTAGGAATTAATTAGAGTCATGTAGTTATAACAGAGTAAAAAAGAAGATGCAAAGTATGCCAACCGTAGAATGCACCCCTGATCTACAATATAAACTTCTAGTTTATCATCGTCATCAGAGGTTAACCAGGTGTTCATTTTTGAAATTCAATGAAGCAGTAAAAGCAATAAATATAAATCAAAGTTCCGTACGACTTGATTATTGGTCTGTTTTCCATCAGAATGGAGAAGATGAATTTGAAAAGCGGACCGAAAATGCTCCTCGTAAAAACGCACGTACGCACAACAATCATAAGAACAACAACAGCGTGAGATGGTCCACATATCATGACGAACGACAATTAAGCAATGGCCTCAAATGCAATCCTGCTTTGCGTGTGGTCAGTTGAGGCAATGACCAGCTGTGCGGTTTTTTAAGGATGGTTTTTTTCCTCAATCGTTTTATGTCAAAATGAATATTTTATCAAACGATTTATAAAACTAATTAATTATATGGAAAACTGAACTTTCTGGAAAAAATATAATACTCAGAGAAGTTTCTAATGATACCAAAATTTGTCTATAAAATAATATTTCAGTATTTCTAAAGATTGGTTGAAGTTTTCTAAATTAATCCTAGCAGCGTAAACGTCTTACAACATTATGAGCATCACAGAAGTCCCGTGTAAAACATGGATATATACCCAACCCATGGTGTAAAATAAAAATGGAAAATAATATTACAAAAATGTAAAAAAAACCTCCCCGTCGGGGAATTGAACCCCGGTCTCCCGCGTGACAGGCGGGGATACTTACCACTATACTAACGAGGACTACATTAGATGTTACTTTAAAACTGGTATCAAAGTAAATTTGTAATCAGTAACTATAATAAATGTTAAAATTAATTGAACACAGACATTTCTGCAATAAATTACAAGTTTTTTTTCCAAATTAAAAATAAAATTAAACTTAAGAGACGATTAGCAATGACTAACTAGGTGTTAGAGACCAGAGTAACGGTAACACAGCCAAGACTTTTTATTACTTCTTTCAATGTTATAAAAAATCTGTAGTTAAAATAGCGTCGATAAACACAGTTTAATAAATCATAATTTTCTTCTTTATTTAATTAAAAAACAACTTTAATAAAAATTAATATCAACTAGCGGTTAGGAGTGAAAATGTGTACTGAAACTCTAGCGAATGAATATAATTGGATATAATTAGATTTAGTTGGCTGGAGTTGGAAACGACAGAACGTAAGCGAAATAAAAGAGATATATAATAATATTGAGTAAAATTAATAATATTAAATACATATAAAATATATAAAAATACAAATAAAATATATATATTTATAAGAGGTAGATTTTGTTACTTTTAAATATCAGCCAGTCAGATAATAAACTAGTAAAAAAATGGGACCAGATAGATAGATATTGACTGAGTGTAAAAAATTGGGATTTGGATTTGACAGGAGTATCAAATGTCATGATGTATGAAAAATTTGGAGTCGGAACAGAGGAAAGTATAAAACTTCAAAGTTTAAGCTATGCCCTTCTTATAGAAACTTCAAAGATGAATTAACCTCTAGAATTTCCATCAGAAATCCCATCGGAATTATCCTGGTGGGAATGATAACTCGAGATCTCAAGACTCTATAATCCTTTATTGCATAATCGTTTATATTGGATCATATGTCTGAAAGGTTTTTGTTTATTTGGAAAAAGAAATTTGAAATTGGATTATGGTAACGACCCAGATATACTTCAAATGAACCCTTAAAATAAAATTTGCCAGTCAAACATACAACCACAAACACTAATTATATCTTCCTACTACAAGACGTTACTGCTGGCTAATTGAGTTCTGACTGAGTATGTATAATAAATTAATAAATGTGTGTAATAATTGTCTAAACTATCATCATCAAGTTATCATCAACATCATTTTTATCATCTTTAGTTAGAGGAAAGAATTACCGCAGTTATATATAAATCACCACCACCACCACCATCATCATCATCATCATCACCATCTTCTTCTTCTTCTTTTTCTTCTTCTTCTTCATCATCATCTTCTTCGCCATCAATTGTATCATCGATACTATATCATAATCAAAATCGTTACATATATCATCCTAACAATCATCATGATTGTCATCACCATCATCGTCGTCGTCGTCATCATCATCATCTTACCATAGTCCATATTGCCATGTTATCATCATCAACTTAATGAGAAACTCGTCTACTTCATTTTCGGTAGGGAGTTATTTTCATTTTGATTGGAAAACAAAAAAGTTTCATTTTAAATTGTTGACAATTGTGTTTGTTTGTGTGTGTGTGTGTGTGTGTGTGTGTGTGATAGTGTGCGTGTGTATGTGGTGTGTGTGTGTGTGTTTGTTTGTTTGTGTGTGTGTGTGTGTGTTTGTGG